AGGTTGAGGGGCCCTTCCAGGTCAAACCTCGTGGTCACACTGGCCTGCTGCTTTTGACAGCCAAGGACGGAGCCACCCCTCCCACATAGAACAGGGACTGAGACTGGGCTCCTGGGAGATCTTTTCTGCAAGCCAAATGAGAAAACAAGGGAAGCTAACCAGACCGAGTGCTTTACTCCCAGCCAGGGCCTTGAAGGGTTGGGCCTGGCCAAGACTGTTGGTTCTCTAGGCCCCTCCAGCTCCCACCTCCACCCTGACCTTTCCAGTGGATTCCTGCCACCCACTCCAGGGGAATCTGAGTCATGTGTCAGTACGGCCAGGAGGGGAGATGAGTCTTTGGCCACTGCCAATCCAGGAGGTCACAGCACGCCTGGTCTGAGTCTGAAGAGCCCCAATAGGTGATTTCCAGCTTGGAGCAGGAGGGAAGGCACTGTGCATTTGTCTCCCGTGCAGAGCTCTGGCCTCTGGAGTAGGCGGCCCCAGTGGCTGTCCAAAAGGCCTGGCTGTCAGTGGGGCTCTGTGGACCCTTCTCTATAGGGCTTCTCTTCCACGTGGCTGGTCTGCTCCAGAAGCCACTGCCGCTCGGCCTCACTCACTGTCAGTCTGAACGTCACCTCCTGAAAGATGCTGCTCACAGCCACCTGTGTGAGCCAGAGAGAGCAGGACATTCGAATTAAGCCACAAGTTCCAGCACAACCACCCCAGACTGAAACCTGCCCACTGACATCCTTACTTGCTTGAAATGAAGTTTCTGGAACATCCGGATGCTGGGTTCATTTCCTTGACCGATTTTAGCCTCAAACTTGGTCAGACCCAGCCTAGTCACTCCTCCAGAGGTATCAGAGAGAAGGGCAAGAGCACAGTGAAGCCCCCTCGCTAGCACCCCCTTGCCCTCCTGATCTGCAGTGGAGGCTCTTGTCACCTGCCCCCCACCCTCAAGTGTGAAGAAAGCTCAGCTGGGGCCTGACCACCTGTCCCCACATAGCCGCTTAGAATTCCTTACCGTAAGACATCATCAGAAGAGCAGCCTCAGTGCCAAAACCCTGGCCCCTGCAGCTGGGCTCTACAAGAAAGAGTGACACAGCAGCTGGCACTGGGCCAGGCTACAGTGTGCACACCTGACAGATACATGCTCACTGAGTTCTCACCGCCCTGAAGTGGGGTTACCACTACTGTTCTGCACCAGATTGCACCAGGAAGAGGTGCAATCTGACTCCAAAGCTGACCCCTACACTGTCATAAAGGTGAAGGACGGTTAGAGGCCCCTAGGGGGAGCTGAGGACCAAGGTCCCAGAAACAGGAGAGGCCCTCCTATAGCATGGCAGGACGCTCCAGAGAAGATGGATTATTTTGAAAGATCCCTCACCCACCCTACAGAAGGGGCCTTAAAACCAAAGGTTCACACTGAAGCATAAGGAATAAAGTGACAAACAGAAGGAAAAGCCCAGGCTTGGATGGGGCCAGCCCACCCTAGCCAGAAGCTAGCTCACCGCCACGAAGCCCCCCACTGAGCTTCCTGAGTGTCCTGAGCAGCTCAGCAGACTTCTGGTTTAGTAGATCTGAGGGCCAGGTGGAACAAACCTGCAATCATGACTTCAATCTCCCCCAGGGTGGGGTCTTCTATATCAGTGAGAAACAGGTTCACATCTCCTGCCATGCAGCTCTCTTCGGTGGGGACTGGCTGAGTCTGCCACTTCTCTGCATCCAGCACAATGAAGGTGCACTCTAAGGGGGAAGGTAACAGGGCTATCACCTTTATTCCCCAGAGAAGAGAGGTGTTCATGCCCAAGCCAGAGAACTACAGAACACCAGCACCTCTGAGCCTGGGAGGAGAAAAGAGGCCCAGAGCTCCCTTCAGCTCATTACAAAGTCCAAGTCTGCCTTCAATCATGAAAAGACAGCCTTCTCCAAATAGTGACTGTACTCTAAAAAAGCAGGGGACCCAAGGGGCAGTGACCACATGAGGCTGTTGTGAGGGACATGAGGGCAGGGTCTAAATTTACAGGTAAGGGCTGGGGATGTGGCTCAAGCGGTAGCGCGCTCGCCTGGCATGCGTGCGGCCCGGGTTCGATCCTCAGCACCACATACAAACAAAGATGTTGTGTCCGCCAAAAAGTAAAAAAATAAATATTAAAAAATTCTCTCTCTCTCTTAAAAAATAAATAAATAAATAAATAAATAAATAAATAAATTTACAGGTAAAGCCCAAAATGCTTTACTTTCTCTAAATCCTTCCAAACCCAGTACAGTGAGTGGGGAAGAAAGCAGAAGGGTCAGCCACAGGGACCAACCCAGGAGGCGTGAGGGTATAAGGGCTTCATGCATTTTTTGGTCTTTTCACAAGTTTTTGTGGCCCCAGCAGAACTGGCTGGAGGTGAGAAAGGGAGGGAACCTGGAGACTGCCTCTGGAGCCAGCTGCCCCACTAGGAGGGCCAGGCCTTCCTTACTGTCTGCATCTTCCCGCCAGCTGCACTGCATAGCATACTCCTGCTCCAGGGTCAGCGGCTCTGAGGCTGTCAAATGCTGCAGTTCCTCTGATTTCATCCACTCATGGTACCTGCAGGGAAAAGGGGATGGCCTTAGACACACAGAGCTAATTCAGAGGCATGGGTCTGACATTTTTTAAGGTAAAGAAGTAGATGGTAAGGAGCAGGGCCCCTCAGGGCTAAAAGAGGGCTCATACAAGACCCAAGAGTTATGAAGGCAATGGACACAAGCCCAAAGGCAGTCCAGTCTTACAAGAGAACAGTAAGAGGGAAAAGTTCTATCTGTCCACCTTCACACCCTGGCTGAGGGATCTGTGTGGAGGAGCAGTTTGAAACCAAATATTCCTCAGATTCCTAAGGGGAAGTATATGGCAAACTGACCTCAGCAAAAAAGGGTAAATGGACCCTTATAAAAACAATGCACCAGGGACCCCCCAAAAGGAAAACTCCAAGTAGAGGACACCCCCCTATACCACCACTTTCCCAATCTACTAGACATTTGCCAAATGCTCCCCATAAGAGTCCACACTAGCTTTTCAAGAAATGGAAATAATCAATCAGCTGAGTGTTCTAGAACAAGCATATGTTAAGTATCCAAGAACTGAGCATATCCACAGACACCATGAAATATCACTGATTTACAAATGGATGAAACAACAATTTTTCTTTCTTACACACATGAGAAAAACAGGTAATCACTGTCCTCCACTTGAGCTTTTTTTCCTATATGTAATTATTTCTCACAACCAACATGTCTTCCCAGGAGCTACAGCTCGAGGGACTGGGGCTAAGGAAGGCCTCCTTGCTGTGTCAAGGAAAGTTTGTTTACTTAACCCTCCTGGGGGCTAAACTGCACTCCAGGTAAGGTGCATGGTTACCTAGGCACGTGTTCTGAAGTGTAGGGTACCAGGACCACCTTCTTCCCCAGCAACAAGGTGTTCTGATTCAACCTCATGGCAGCAGCCTGCAGGTAGGGGACAGCAAACACTTAAGAACCCGGAGTTTTTTCCCACTTACGGTGTGAGCCAAATCTCTCTTACTGGAGTGGGGCTAAACTGACAAAAGGGCCTCCTGTCCTTTCCTTCCAAACACTTCAAAAGAACACCCACTCTCAAACCCACTGCAAGAAAGAGAACTGATTTGGTTAAGAATTAAACAACCTTTGGCTCGCACCTCAGGGGCCAAGCATGGTCTGCCATTCATGCCGGTCCCTTCCGTCTACCTCCCAGAACGTCGATCCATCAAACGCAAGGACCAAATCAAGATTCATCCTCAATGCTCCCATTACCTGCCCCATTCAGGGACTCCAGCCCAGAATCAAATTCCAGCCTTTCCTTCAACCAACTCCCATCTCTTCCCTCGGGTGCAAGCCAAGGGGCCCCAACCCTCCCTCTTCCCCGCCCCCAGCCCGCCCTCCCAGCCCACTTTAGTTTCAGGCCCCTCCCCTTTGTGTGGGGCTCCTGGATTCTCCAGCCACCTGGGACCGGAACTGCCAAGCTCACACCCATTCCCCGACGACGAAAGCGTCCCCAGCAGCACGGGTAATCTGCCTCTCCCAACTGGCCACGCTTCCCCGCCCGGCCCGCAGCCGTCACCCCGCATGCGTGGCGAAGCGCACTTCTCACTTCCGCCACGCAGACGGCAGCCGCCAGGGCCAATTCCGGCCACGGCCCCGAGGGGCGCCCAATCAGCGTTCTGCGCCCCTTCCGAAGCGCGCGCCGGGAAGGTGGGTTCGAGCGCCGGCGCATGCGCGTTGTGGGCACTGGTGCGGGACAGCTGGCGCTGGCAGCCGCACAGGGGCCGGAGGCGGCTCCCGCGCCCGCCCCGAACAAGCTGTGCTGCTGGTGTCGGACCGGGGGTAAAGGTGTGATGGGATGGAGGGGGCGTTAGACTTGGGGCTCCTCCAGCAGGGAAGGCAATGGAGAGGCTCAGAGAGAGGCACTTGAGGAGGAAATGCGGCTCGAGGATGGGGAACCCTAAGGCAGGGTAGGAATGGCTGGTTGGGGGGAACGGGGAGTGGCGGCCCCGCTAAAAAAAAAAAAAGAGAGAGAGAACAGCAAGAGAGACATTGGGACAGGGAGTTATGTTGGACGGACCATCTGGGAAAGCTCCAGCTCCCAGCCATAGGCGAAGGTAGCAAACAGTTCTGTGGGCTGCCCTGGGTGGTAGTGAGCTCACACAGTTCCGGAATTAAGTGGGCACCTCCGAGGGTGTAAAGAACTCTGTTGGTGGGTGAGACTCAGTGGCTTCGCAGGCCCCGTAAATCAGTGGAGTCCAAGCAATATCCATGCATAGAGTAGTCCCCTGAGCAGCAAGGGGCAAATTAGAAGCGACTACCTAGATTTTCTCTGACCAAGGGAACCCTTCCTTCCGGGATGAGTCTTGTGACAGATACTTAAGTCTTAAATAAGTGTTAATAATAAAAAGACAAGAGGTGGGGAGGGAGCAGTAGCAAACTTTACCCCACCCCTGTGCCAGCCCATCAGAAAGCTGAAGTGTACTCTTTTGTCTTAGGGAGCTGCAACAGCTGCTGCCCTGCGCTGAAGGAACCTCTACTGCCCACCCTTCCTAACGTTTTTTGGAGATGGCCGGTGAAATCACAGAGACCGGGGAGCTCTATTCTCCCTACGTGAGTTTTACCTTTAGAATCTGTTTTGCTCACCACAGTACTCCTGGCCTCTAAAGAAGCCCACTGCTTCCTGTGAACTGTACTCCTGATTGCCCTGGTTTAAGTAGAGCCTGGTGAAAATACAATGGGAACTTGATGTAGCAGGAGCCACATTGCTGCTGTCATGTTTCAGAATATGAGTCATGGTCATTCCCTTTTAGATGCTTCTCAAAGAGTGTCAAGCTGAACAAAATCAACTTGCTAACTCTCTGTAATATTTATCTCAGGGCTATCACCACTTTTATTCCTTGCTATGCTTCAGGTGGACCATGATTGACAGTTGTTGACTTTGGGTGTTACTCATCTCAGCAGGTTGAAACTACTTTGGTCTTTAGATGAATTTTAAATTGCACAACTTTTATGGTCTTGGATGGCGAAAGAGGCAGCCAAATGCAAAGTCTTCCATTTGTAGCCTGGTGGAGTCTGCAATTAGGACAATTAGAATGATTGATTTCTCTCTGTCCTGAGACTGTGTTGCCCCCTCATTCCACCATCACCACCCCCGCCCCCACACACACTCAGTTTATCTTCTCTAATGTACTATCCAATTGGTCATGGTCATTACATCACAGAGCCCTCTTGCCTGGAGCTTGGAGAGAATCATTTGAATAATCAGACAATTGACTCATGTTGCTATTAAGTATCCCAGGGAAAAGCAGCACTGCCCTAAGCAGCCAGAGCCTTCCTTCTACAGCTTACCTACCTTACACAGCTGCTTTGCATCCGCCTTTCTTGCCTGAGGATCCATCCTCTGTTTCTGCTAAGGTCACAGACACTAGCCTCATGGTGTGATAGGGTAAGGAAGCATCTCTAACCACAGGCAGAAGAAACTTTCCTCCCTCCAGGGTCTTGCTGTTGCATCTGTGCCATTCTCAGCAATGAAAGAGCCTCCTCACTTCCATAATTTACCTGGGGAAGTCTTTTGTGAACCCTGGAATAGAATGAATAGTGCCCCTCTCATTTGTGGAATCATGTAAAGGCTCCCATTTTCCTATATCAGCAATGAAATGTCCATGCTATCCATGAAGGTCACCACAGTCCCTGCTTTTTCTTACAATGTCTATGAACTTACAGATGAAGAAATGAGTCATTTCTGTGAGTGAGTTCTGGGAGGAACACACTGTGATGTGCCCCTATTTCTTGTTCTTGTGCTCATCTCACTTGTCATCATGTCCCTGCAGGAGATGGGAGAGTTAGGCCTGCAAACTTCAGGGGGCTCTGTGTTTTTTTGTTTTTTTTTTTTCTTTCTTTTCCCATGGGTTTTATTTTGCTCAGTCTTTGAGGGCCAACTCTGGGCAGTCGTCACAAATAAATGTTGTATTATTTTATCCTCCAAGTGAAGAGAGAGGTCAGGAAAAGCTGGGCAGTGGTCAGAGTGAGGTGGTGGTAACCAGGCAGCAGTGGTCAGGGTTTTGAGGGAGAAGATGCCTTCCGAAGGCTTTCTTCCTTCATCTCACTTGGAGAATGAGTCTTGATTCCCTGTGAGACCAGTAGAACCTAAATAAGCTATAAAAATGACTTTCCTACCTAAGCTGCTCTAAAGCCCTGCAATCCCCAGCTCAGCACAGTGTGGGCAAAACCCTGCTCTGGCTTCCTTAGGAGACCAAGGTACTGGACACGTGGTTCATTAATGTACAAAACAGCCCATGGTCATTGCCAAGACACAGCCTCTCCTTAGATCTGTATTGCCTCACTCCATTGTGAGTTCTTTTTCCCTTCAGAAGTAGATAGTTTTCTTTAGCTTGACTTATTCTGCTTAAAATGTTTATGACAGAGCCAAGCTTCCCAGGAGGCTCAGATGCCACACTTTCTCAAGGACAGTGCTGGACCCAAGAACATGATTCAGCCTTGTACATGTCGCCATGAGTGACCTCAGGACAGACGTGTCAGTTTCCCTATTTGGGGGGACCAGGAATGGCTCAGGACGAAGTGGTAGTTATGAGATCAGAACACAGGACGAGGTGGATCATGCCTGAGAGAAGGGTAGCTGCTGAGGATGCCTCTGGTGGCTGGTTCCTGCTGAAGACTCCAAGGACCAGGGGCTGCACCTTCTCCAGTTCATCCAGAACAATCTCATCCTTGGGGACTATGTAGGACCTTATTCCTCTGCTTCCTGCCACTCTTCCCAGGAAGTGGCCCCACAGAACTGTCACATGACCAGCAGAAGAGAAGGTCTTCTTCCTCTTCTTTCTTCCCCACAAGTTCTCTTGACCTGGCCTGTGGCTTAGCTCGGAGTTAATGCTGACCAGGACTGCTTTGGCCCTCCAATCGAAGAAGTTCCCTGTGAAGCACGCAGTGGTTTCTTTAGAACTAGAAAATAGCAACAAAGCAAGACAAACATGACTGCCCGTTTCTGCCTAACAACAGATGGTTTATCCCTAATCAACTGTTTATAAAGTTGTTAAAGCTTCTTTTCATTGAGGTTTATTTGAAGTCTCTGTTGGGCACATGCCTGTGTCTTCATGCCTGTTTTAAAGGAGTGGTTTTCAGGTGGTGATGATCTTGCCCCCAGAGGACATTCAACATCTGGAGACACTTTGATTTTCAAGACGCTGTTGCTTGGGACAGAAGGAGCAGTTCACTGGCAACTGGTGGACAGAGGCCAAGGATGCTGCTAAACACCCTACAATGCAGGACAGGCCCCCACCACAAAGAATGATCTTGAACCCAAATATCAACAGTGCCCAGGCTGAGAAAACCTGACCTGTAATAGGCCTTTGAACTTTTCCATGCCAAGACCTTCAGAGATTCCGGAATTTAGAGATGCTTCTTGTACTGTTTAATTTCCCCGTAAGATTTTTGCCTAAGTGTCTTTGTTAAGCCCCTTGCCCTCTCTTTATTTTCATCATCAGGACCATTTCCCACAAAGAAATGAGGCTGATGCCCCCTAGTAGTGCTGCTGCTTAGAGAACTACTGAGCGGAAAGCAGAGCCGCAGGGTTCAGGTGCTCTGTGGCCACTGGGATCTGTTCTATTGGTGTCCTGCCTTGAACTCTCCGAAACATGGAACCCTCATCTCCTCCAAAGGGCTGCTCAGTCTGACTCCTGAATCCCCAGCCCTCCTCTGCCTGGCTCACGGTGCCTCAGCCACCGGCCTCCTGGAAGCTTCTGGAACATCCCCACTTCTTTCCCACCTTAGGCTGTTGTACCTGGAGGCCGTCTGGGTGGTGCCATCTCATCCTTCCTGTCCCCCCTTAAATGTCATCGAAGAGGTTTCCTTGAGCACTCTGTTTCCAGTGTTTTCCCATTACTCCTTGTCACAACCCCTTGATTCTTTTCTTTAAGCTTCTCTCAAGCAGTGACCACAGTTTGTTTTCTTCCCCTCCTGAGGACGTAGCTCCATATGTGCCTTGTTTAGTTGTAAAGTTAGCTCATTATAGACATTCATAGTTGCTTGTGAGAAGCTGGAACTTGCCATCCTGAAGGCCAGCAAAGACCTGCAAGATACCTTGAGCAGGGTCCCGTGAAAACCAGCTGAGCTCTCCTCTCCAGGCCTTTCAGACACCCTGAGAATGCAGAGAAGTGAGCACAGCCTGCTGCCACGCAGGCCTTGGGTTTAGTATCGGGGAAGAGGTAAATGCACCGCACCTGAAAGCCAGGACCAGGTGTAAGAAGGCTTATGCTCCAGGGATGCAAAGGTGGGATGCAAGATGAGCTTAGGAGCCTGGGAAGGGCTTGGAGGTGTAAGTAGCATTTGAATGGGCCCCAGGGGCTGAACAGAAGGGCAGGGGGAGGAGGCCCAAGAGAGCATGGCGCCCTGTGCCAAGGATAAATGCACTGTGGGCGGAGCTCTGTGCTCTCAGTGAGACGTCCGCCCACCTGTCCAGCACTCAGGTGTCCACTGGACACTGCTGGAAAGCCTGGCCTCCTCTAACCCTTCCCCCTGAGCCAAGGGTCCTAAGGTAGTAGTTGACAATCCCTGTCTGTTTCTGCTTTCTTTTTTTTTTTTTTTTTGTTCATCTTTCAAAGAATGGGAAGTGAAAATGAGAGGTGGGCAGGGCTTCTCAGAGAGGAGGGATTTGTCTTTTTAAAGGCACCAAAACAGGTGGTGAAGCCATGGAAGATCAACAAGGGGCCTGTCGTGAAGGGCTGAGCTAGAGGGAGCCACAAAACACTCTTCAGGAACAAAATCAGTAGCACCAGGACATGAGGAGAAGGAAGGAGGCCAAGGCCACTCTGGGATGTCCAGATGGAGGTGCCTGGCAGCAGCTGAACTGGAGCTCTGAAGAAAGGCAGAGACCACAGAAACAGTCTTCTGTCCAGCCACGAGATAAGCCAGACAGGTGGACTGAGTTGTTGAGGAAGACGTGCAGAGAGGAGAAGAAACAGCCAGTGTGGCAGCAGGAAGGCCAGCGGGTCCTTGGTGATAGGCAAGGTTCAGTTTCAAGGTCGGGCATGGTGGCATACGCTGGAATCTCAGGTAGTTGAGAGGCTGAGGCAGGAGGATTGCAAGTTTGGAGCCAACCTGGGCAACTCAGCGATACCCTGTCTCAGAGTAAAAAGGGCTGGAGATGTAGTTCATGGTGAAGCGCCCCTGGCTCGGCCCCCAGTAACACCAAAAAAGAGAGAGAGAGAGAGAGAGAGAGGTTTCTGGAGTCCTGGAGAAGGAAGCTCCTTCACCAAGGACAGGCAAGAGCCCGCCTTTCCCCCAAGTTTGCATCAGCAAAGTCAGAGTCACGTTTTAAAGGTGTCAAGTAAGTTTGTAGGCACAACGGAAGAGCTGGTGGGAAGAGAGGGTTCCAGGCTGGGATGAGCCCAGAGGTTCAGGTGCCAGCTTGGCCTCATCAAGGAGTAATGGCATATGTTCCTCAAAGGCAGCAGGAGCCAAGCACAGTGGCACACACCTATAATCCCAGAGGTGGGTAGCTGAGGCACGAGGCAAGAGAATCACAAATTTGAGGCCAGCCTCAGCAACTTAGTGAGACCCTGCCTGAAAATAAAAAGGGGTAAGGGGAGTCTGGGGATATAGGTCGGTGGTACAGTGCCCCTGAGTTCCAGCCCCAGTATGGGTGTTGGTGGGGACAGATAGGAAGGGGATAGACACTGATCTTTTGAACTAGGAAAGAGGCTTTGGCAGCATGCATCACCAGGTGACTTCAGTCACCTCCACAGAGTAGCTGATGGAGCCCTCATCTAAGAGTGATGGGGCCATGGGTCTGGGAGCTTAAACGTTGAGCTTGGGGGCAGTTACTATGGGGAACACCCAGAAACCCATGTTGAGAAAGAAACTGATGTCACCAGACCCCAGGTGAAGGGGCCGCTCATTTGCTGTGGGACAATCCAATGATTCAAAGAGAACATCTCCAGGAAGCTCTGGCAATTTGGCTCAGGGAGGAGAAGAGCAGGTGTGGCCTTGGCACAGGCTGGGTGGACAGGCGAGACCCCGGAGGGGAAGGCCCGAGAAGCTGGGGCAACATGTGCTCTGTGGAACCAGCTGACCGTGTGCAGGGCTGGGGGGGGGGTGATGCCCAGGTCGGGTGGACTGGAGGGCAGAGGCAGCTGGGGGTGGAAAGCACCCTGGGAGAGCTGGGGTTCTCAGAAAGGAATTTTCCAGCTGAGATCTTGGGAAAAGAAATGGTGTGACTAACTGAACTAGAGTCAGGGGCTGAGTTAGAGTTAAGTTTGAAACCTGGAGTCACCCTGAGGGCACAGGATGAGGGGAGGTGTGACGAGAGCAATCTTGAGTTCCTGAAACCCCTGTGCTGTGCTTTAGAGGGTGGGTTTTGTTTCCTGTGAATCGTGTCTTGACTGTTTTTAACCCTGAAGTCAGTGCAGAGGTGTGGGAGTAGAGTAAGGGAAGCATGAATGTCGATGTCCCAAGGACAGTGGCAAGGACTGGCACAGGACAGAGTCATGGGCCAGCAGTTTGGAGAAGTTTCTTGGAGGTCAGCATTACGTGTCCATGCTGTGCCGAGCGCCCCACCTGTCTTCAGAGCCTGGCATCTGTGACACAGCTCTGAATGGTTTGCAGTGCTGAGGGGGTGGCCATGAGGACAGTAGAGAGGGGACTGGAATCCAGAGACATTCTGGAAAGAACCCACAGATTGTGGCGCTTAGTCGTCTGCGTGTTAGGGCCCCAGCACCTGGTTGCAGAGCTCTGCTCCCTGGGACCAAGATGTCCTCTGCCTCCCTGTCCTTGGGGCTCTGGGAAGGTCTCCATGGCGGTGCTGTCACCCAGGGCAGCCCTCGGGAGCTGTTGAGGGGCGAGATTAACCATTCCCGGGCTTGAGTGTCGCTCCTTGGGTTCCAGGTCGGGCTGGTGTACATGTTCAACCTCATCGTGGGCACAGGGGCGCTCACCATGCCTAAGGCCTTTGCCACCGCCGGATGGCTGGTCAGCCTCGTCCTGCTGGTGTTCCTGGGCTTCATGAGGTAAGGGGCAGCGGAAGGCTGGGGCCAGAGCTGGGGGAGTCTGCCCTGCAGTCCCTATGTCTCTTCATTAGTGGGGCCTGAGTGGGAAGGTGACTGACTACATGCATTAGGCACGCGTGTCCTGAGCAGGACCAGAGAGGGGAGTGGACAGAGGCTTCCCGGAGCACCCTGTGAGGTGGGTCGAGACACGATGAAGCCCCAGAAGGTCCTGAAGGTTCATGTGGTGCAGGTCCTCTTCCCGCGACTCACCTCTCTGCCCCATGCTTCAGCACCGTGACCCCCGTCAGGGCGCTCAGAAAACACCACCCTCCCCAGAAAAAGAGGGTGATCTGGGAAGAGAGTTTTGGGTTTAGATTCTACTTGATATAATCCACCAAGAAAGTGAAGGCACAGTACACCAACACACGGGCCACAGTGGAGCCACCTGCCTGTGTCCCCCATGGTCCACCCCCCGCCCCCACCTTCAGGGCACTGATTGTGTGGGTCCCAGCAGCTGTTGCGTCAGTGAGGGAGGCCACCAAGGCTGTGCTCAGGGGCTCCCCTGGAGCTTTGCAGCCATCTCGTGATGGCACAGGCTAAGGGACTTAGGTCCTGACCAGGCAGGAGTCCACAGGCCAGAGGTGGAGTGTGACCTGGAGCTCCCCAGGAGCACCTCCCGTCTCTGCGCCAGAGAAGGGACTGGAATCCAGAGACATTCTGGAAAGAACCCACAGGTTGTGGCACTTAGTTGTCTAAGCGCCATAATCTGCGGGTTGTGGCACTGTCCATGTTTGTGGCACCCGTTGAACAGAACACGCCCCACGTGGCTGTGCCCTGTGGGCAGTGAGGGCGAAGGAGGTGGACAAGTGAATTGCAGAGTGACCAGAAAGTGATGAGTGGCAGACAAGGAAAAGCACAGTGTGGCGAGGGGTTGAGGAGGTGAGGTGACTGCCAGGCCCAGGGGTCACAGAGCGGCACGGATGCAGAAGTTTGAAGGAGAAAGAAGTAGGCATCATAGAAAGAGTGAAGCAGAGCTAAGTACTTGAAGCAGACAGAGCTGGGAGGGCCTGTAAGGGACAGAAATGAGTCAGGCTCTTCCGTTTCTTTGCAGTTATTTTGGGGACCTTTAGGGTGAACCTTGGGTGCTGTTGGCTTGTTATATACTTCAAGCTCTAGCTGCCAAGAACTCTGGAAGTCCTTGACCTTATGTGACTCCATCACCTTTAAAGGACCTTCAGCACAGGCAGCCATCTGAAGAGGAAGTGATTATTGGGAACCTCTAGCTAGGGTCTGCCATGGCCTCTCCTTGCTAAACCCGTTTCCATTTGAACATGATCAATGAGTTGGCTTAATGCAACCGTGGGAAGTCTCTCTATGCCTTAATTAGGATTGATTTTAGCTCCACTTCCAAAAAGAAGGGAAAAGCTAAGCCCTCGACATGATCAGTTAGGCAAGATCACGAGAAACCTTTCTTGGAGGTGCTGGGGTGATTGGAATGGGAATCATGGGCCCGACTGCCCCCCCACTGCAGAGGTGGAGGGGTGTGGGTTTGACTGCTGTGGGGCCCAGTGCTCCACCAGCCACCGGACTGAAGGACTGAGTGGCATCTGTTGACATCATCTGCACCAGAGGACACAGGTGCAGAGCCGTGCTGACCTCAGAAAAAGGGAGACCATGTTCGCCCCAAGCTGTTTCAGGGCAGGGCTGGACTCTGCCTCACGTTTTATCAGCAGTGCCCCATATCCTGGGGCCACCCAACCTCTGAGCTCCTGGAAGAGGGGAAAAGATGGCTTCTCCACTCTTGTCTGACTTCTTGGCAAGTGTCTTGTGCTGCCTCCCTGTCTCCCTTGAGATTCGGGCCACAGTAGTAGAAACTTATTTTACTATTAGGCACATTATCCTGAAAGCTAAAGTTCTGCCAAAGAGAAAGGGGGACGGGTTCCAGAGCCACCTTCGTTCTCCAGCCCTTGGCACTGGTGTATGCAGTTGGAAGCTGACCACTGCCTGTGCCCTGCAGGGAGGGGTGAGGGCTGCCTGCCGTCCTTCCAGAAGCCCCCATGAATCGGCCTCCTCCCAGCTCAGGGCCCCTGTTGGTGCGGGGCCATGTTGACCTGTGTCGCCTCCACCTAGCTCGTGCTCTCCCTTGAGCAGTTTCCCTCCCCTCAGCCTATGTCACAGCCCCATCCTGTGTGTCAGAAGTGGATCCTAAACGTAGGCAGCCACAGAAAAGCAAGCACACGCGGCTTCGAGCAGGCACACACTCCTTACCAGGAAAGGCCCCTCTCAGAACTTCTCTAGGGAGCAGTTCTCACAAGAGAGTGCCGGGCTTGTTGGTCACGCCACTTCAAACTCCTACAATCTCCTCTCTGCAATTAACACGTGCCTCCCCCTCAGCTTTGTGACAACCACCTTTGTGATGGAGGCCATGGCCGCAGCCAACGCACAGCTCCGCTGGAAGAGGATGGAAACCCACAAGGTGTGTGTGTGTCCCCTGGCGGTTCCTCTGTTCAGTTGTGTTCCCTAGAGACAATCTCAGCAACCCGTTGTTTTCCTCTTGATGTGTGAGGACTGTCCACAATGCTGCTCCAGGAACCTAGTCCCAGGTCCCAGAGCTGCAGAATGGCAGCCGTGTACAGTCAGAAAACACAGGCAGGGCTGCCCTCGGCCTCACAGCGCTGGCCCTCACTCCACACGCTGAGCTGCTCAGCCCTAGTCCCCAGGAACTATGCTATGTGCTCCACCTGTTGAGAGTTTCCTAATCAGACACCTTCTAGAAAGAGAACAAAGGGAATGACCCCTACCCAGGTTTTCTGTACAGCCATGTGCTCATTCCTTCTCCTTGGTTTCTCCTCTTCTCCTCGTCCACCCCACCACCTCCCAGGAGGAGGACAACGACGACGACTCCTCCACGGCCTCAGACAGTGACATTCTCACCCCGGACAGCTACGAGCGGGCAGAGAAACAGCCCATCCTGTCAGTGCGTAAGTCTTGGGCCTCCCGACAGGCCTCAAGCTCCTGGCTGATAGGGCTCCCTTTCTTTCTTCATGGTGAGAGCCCAGGGAGACTCCCTGCAGACGTCCTTTGGCGTTTTCTGCCTGAGGGTGGCAGTTTTGGGGTCCCAGGCACAGGCCTGGCCCTGCTGGCTCACCTCTTGCTAACGCGTTTGGCCTGTTACTGGGCTCTGTCTAGCTTCCCGTCTCCCCGGCCGTTTTTGTTGTTGTGTGGTACCAGGGTGCTTTACCATTGAGCTACACCCCCAGCCCTTTAAATTTTTATTTTGAGGCAGGGTCTGCTAAGTTTCCCAGGCTGGCTTCAAATTTGCAATCCTCCTGCCTCAGCCTTGCAAGTTGCTGGGATTACAGGTGTGCACTCTCCTACTGTTATAGAAATGATCGCATGCCTGGTTCTGTGCCCTGTGCGCACTGAGAGAGCTTGAGTGAATGTGGTCCTGGCTCCACCCTCCCACCTCACCCCTATACACACACACGCACCCTCGTCTCGCAGTCTCGTCCCTGCTCACCCTCTCCCCTATAGGGAGCATCCTTGAATTTTCTTGTAAAATGTAGACATGGGGCTGGGGCTCCGTGGAAGAGTGCTTGCCCGACATATGCAAGGTCCTGGGTTTGAGCCCCAGCACTGGGAAAAAAGGAAACCTTAGGAAAGTTTTCTCCAGAGTCCGAGATCCTTGGGGATTCCTTATTCTGGGACTTTGTGGCACTCAGCGACAGTGCTTCTGGTGAAGAATCACCACCCTTCTTGTGCTTTTGGCTCCTCAGAGAGACGCACATCTCCCAACCTGTTTGAAATCACAGACCGGGTGGAAATGGGACAGATGGCCTCCATGTTCTTCAATAAAGGTAATAAATGCTTATTTGGGGGTGGGGTGTGGGGAAAGGGCCAGGGGTCCTTCACTGCAGGCCTGAGCCTTATAATGAGGGTTCCATGTCACCGGGGGATGAGGCAAGCCATGAGGAGGGGAAGGTTGTCAGCCTGCGGTCAGAGCAACTGCCGGATGCCTGCCCTGCGGACACAAATTTCCTTGGATGCCCCGTCCCTCTGTGTGAAGAACAAAGAGCTGGCTACCCTGGTAGAGGCAGGGATCCTGGGCAGCTATCCAACAGGGGAAGCCATGGAGGTGGCTGGCAGTTTGTACCTCTCCCAGCAGTTGCTTCTGACTTGGCTCTCTGGCCTGTTCTGGCTGAGACAACACCCTCTGACAGTGGTAGGCTTTGCCACAGGCATGCCAGGGCATGTCCTCCCAGTGGCCAGCAGAGGGCGCCAGGAGCCCACGCTAGAGCTGGTTTGGGCACTGGAGGCCCCCTCCCCCCCCCAGAGGGAGGCAAGGCTCTCCCTCTGGCCCTGCCTGCTCCTGGCTGGCAGTTGGCAACAACCTGCAGGGATCCGCCCAGCTCTGGTGTTGGGCTCCGGGGCCTGCCAGTGATAACGGCATGTACTTCCATGGCTAATCTTGTTCTTTGGGAAAATGAGCTATTAAGACTTTCATTTTTAATGCCCAAACCTGTTAGTTTCCTTGACAGTCAGGCACAGTCTCAATAAATCCTTCCGCTTACAGCTGTCCTGGAAGATCTTGTGCCCCTCTGTCAAAGCCCGTGTGTGGAGTGGTTGTCCACCGGTTCTTGTGTGGCCCTGCTTTACTCAGAGCTGGGGGACTGTGGAAGCCAGTGTCTGCTTGCCTGCCCTCAGGACACTAAGCACTCAGTCTGTCATTGGTGGTGCGATTTGGTGGCTGGTCCAGACGAGGTGATTGTTGGCACAGGTTGCCCAAGGTCTAGTTCCACTCTCCCTCCTGGACAAGCCTCAGAGGATTTCCAGAATTCATCAAAACCAGCTTCTCAGCCGGACGTGGTGGCTCACACCTGTAATCCCAGCGGCTTGGGAAGCTAAAGCAAGAGGATCAAATCCAGCCTCAGCAACTTAGCACGGCCCTAAGCAACTTGGTGAGACCCTGTCTCTAAATAAAAATATAGAAAGGGCTGGGGATGTGGCTCAGTGGTTAAGTGCCCCTGGGTTCAATCCCTGGTACCAAAAAAACACAACAACAACAAAGACCCTGTTTTCAGCCCACTTCTGTGTTTCTCCTTTGCTGCATTTCTGTCGCTCCCTGTCCCACTGCACTGAGTGAGCAGAGGCGTTTCCTGACCCTTCAAAATGCAAACCTGTAAAATAAGTCACTCATGGGGGAGAAGAAACATCTTTTAAACCTCATTTCTCGTTTTCATATTCTGTAATCTGCCTTGATTTCTGTAAGAATTCTAGGAACCAGTGGTTTGTTTTGCTTGTTTGTGGTACTGGGGATGGACCCCAGGGCCCTGTGCAGGCTGAGCAAATGCTCTACCACTGAGCCACATCCCAGCCTTTTTCATTTGATCTTGAGACAAGGTCTCACTAAGTTGCTGAGGCTGACCTCCTACTTGCCATCCTCCTGCCTCAGCCTTCCAAGTAACTTAGGATTGTAGGTGTGAGCACTGTGCCCAGCTAGTGGTTGGTTTTATCTCTGCTCCTGCCCCATGAACCAGACTCCTAGTTTATTCAAATCTAATAGAAAACAGCATGTTTGTGTGGAGACAGCCCCACACCTAGAGAAGTCTCCTTGTTGTCCCCTGCAGGGCTTCTCAAGCTCCTCACTGTGGACGTTGGGCCAGATAACTTGGTCGCTGGACCTGTCCTGAGTGTCGTAGAGCAACACCCCGGATTCCAGTTGTCAGTAGTACCTCCTAATTGTGTCAATCAAAACCGCCCTCAGACATTGCCAAATGTTCCCCCCAGGTGGGGCGGTGCAGAATCACCTCTGCTCTGCTCTGCTCTGCTTTGGCAGGGCGGCCTTCCACAAAAGGCTCCCTTGGGCTCTCCACTCGTTTCTTGTCATTAGAAATGCCAAGCGTAGTCTCTGATGTCCTCTCGGGAAGTTCATTGATCCTCCCACTTTGTGTCTAGTAATGAAATTGTATTGATCAGGGAGGGCCAATGGCAGTTTATAAACAACCGACATTGGAGTCGTCAGCAGGTGGCAAGAAGGGAATGGGGAGGAGACGATGCCTTCCCACAGAGAGCAGAAAGGCAGGCTGGAGCCGGCTGTCCCCAGAGCCTGGGGCGTGAGTTATAGGCAGCCCCGGGGCCACTGAGTTTGGACATCAAGTCTCCCTCTGACATGTCAGTGAAGGACATGCCAACTAGTGTGCTCAGAAAGCAGACGCCGGGCGCTCGTGGCTCCTTTAGAAAATCATGCCTTCCTGGTCTTCTCCCCCAGAGTCCTAGGAGCAGAGCTGACCTCACACAGCCCAGGAGTAGCATGTCCTGGGCTTTCCCCTGGGGACGCTGCAGGCTCTTGTAAGCCACGAGGATTGGAAGAGAACTGTCACTTCATTTTTCTTTCTGTCCTCAGAGAAGCCAGCAGCTTGAGACCAGTGACATCAAAAACTTGAGCAATAGTCTGAGCAAGAATCTGAGGCCAGCTGTCTGGGGCCATAGCCTTGGGCTGGATGGCCCCGCTGCTGTTTTCAGAGCCTCTGCCCGCCCCGGGCTTCCTAGCTAGAATCCCCTGTGGAAGGTAGCCAAGCATGGTGGGACACTCACCGTAGGAGATGTCCAGGCACTTGCCAGGGTTGGAATGTAAGTCTGATGGAATTGGGACGTGAGCCCTACATCCCCACCCCTAGTTCTCAGTGGATGGAGCTGTAGCACACACTCCTGGAGTTAGCACTGTCCCTTGCCGGCACTGCTCGTAAGGAAAAGGAGCCTCTTGTGAGAACTGTCCCTCCCCAGCACATCAGGCCACCCTGGGCCAGCAGATGCAAGGTCATTAAATCTGGAAGGAGGCACTGGGTCTTTGGAATTGAAGGGCTTTTTGCAGTGCTGATTTCAGCCTTATGGCTGAACTTTTTCCTGTCAACTTCTCTGTGCTTCGGTTCTTGCTTGCAGTTTCTTGTCGTAGAGCCCTATGCTGGCTGCGGAGGGAGCCCTGGCCCAACACACGGGGACATTCAGGCTCCTGATCAGGTGTCGTCCCCACCCCACACACATCCAGCCTGTCCCCAGGGTGACGGTGCCTCCATTCATCCTGGGCTGACCATACCACATACTAACTTTGTACCTGTCTTGCTTCAGAACCTCCCTGAACTCTGAGCCTCTCAACCCTCTCACATGCAGGTCCCAAGCCAGTGTGTCTCCTGCCAGTGTCACAGTGTAGCCGATCAGCATGAGAAATGACCATGGAGCCCTTTTTCCCCTCCTTTTGTAGAAAATAAATGGCTTAGAGAACTGACTGCTATGGAGAAGGTGGAGGTTCTGTGTCAGAGAAGAGTACAGTGTCTCTCCAGCTCCCTGACCATGGCTTTGTTGCTTTCAGTGGGCGTCAACTTGTTCTACTTCTGCATCATCATTTACCTGTATGGGGACCTGGCCATCTATGCCTCGGCCGTGCCCTTCTCTCTCATGCAGGTGACCTGGTGAGTATCCCCTGCCCCCCATGCTGGCTGTAGCCAGTGGGCCGCCTTGGCCAGTCAGGCAAAGTGTCCAGCATAGAAGCACCACACCAAGCAGGTCCCTGGTCCCCAAGGAAAGTGGATGTCCAGGGCCCTTTTCTACACACAGCATGGCCAGCTGTGCCCTCTGAGCTTAGGAGACATGTCCTGCCTTGCTGTCCCCTTCCCTGCCCCAGGAAAGATGGCTTGGACTCCCACTGAGGGCTCCTGAGTCATAAGGAACAAGAGGGGCAGGTCCTAAAGATGGTTTATGGGAGTCATATTGTGGAGGGGTGGCTCTGTCTTTGCCAGCCGAGCAGGGCCACCCTGATCCCAAGCCCGCCACCACTCTTCATCAGCAGCACCACTGACAATGACTCCTGCGGTGTGGAGACAGACGCCAAGTACAATGACACTGACCTGTGCTGGGGGCCCCTGCGCCGAGTGGACGCCTACCACATCTACCTGGTGAGTGTCCTGGCCAGCCCGGGGTCGCAGGCCGCCCCGAGAGGCGAGCTCTGTAGGCCACCTTTCCTTGCTGGGAAAAGCGTTTCCCCAGAGGGGAGCCTCTGCCCATCTCCACACACTGGCCGCATGCTGGGGCTTGGCCCTGGCAGAAAACGGATCATGTCATAAGGCTCTAGCTCCAGAGCATCCTGATGACCAGGCTTAAAAGTCAGATGTGGTTTGGACTTGGCATCCAGGTCCTTGTCAGCTTCAGGACCAAGCACCACTGTGGCCGGAATACAGGGTTCCAGGGACACTCTTTGTAAAGCTCTTGAAGAGCGCCTCTTTAAGAGGCCTCTCTGCTTGACCTTCCTCAGGGTCAGCTCAGGAGCACAGAGGCACATGCTGGTCTCCTGACAGGCAGATAACACTGATCCATCTGATGGTGGCCCTGACCACAAACAGCCTCTGCAGACAGGAAGGATCCCTGTGGACATGGGAAGAAGATGAATCTCCAGGCTCGTTCTTGATTGCTTTGTGCCGTGGTGTACGGGGGCAGAGCTGGGTGGTGTGCCAGAGGGGCCTCGGATAATAAGACACGCACCCAGGGGCAGCATTTATCTCTGCCTGCTTGTGGGCAGGGCTCAGAAATGTTCCCCTTCAGGCTTTGCAGAGTCTGTTAATATTCTCTGCTTCCTCTTGGTCCTCCTCAGCCCTGGTGCAGACTTCGTGTACTAGATGACACAGTTTGACAAGTGGCCACTTAGCTGGTTTGGAGGGGAAGAAGAGGCCAGGAGCAAGCTGGGCCATTCTAGCAGTGGCCTTTTGACTTGATTACTTCTATCCTGGCAAGGTGTCCTCAGGCCTTGCAACAGTGTTATTTGGGTCTGATCTTGTTCATCCTAAGTGCCTTCCCTGCCCTGCCCTGTAGACCTGCTGAAGGGGCCTGCCCCTAGGCCATGGGAGAGGTTTGCTTGCCTCTGTGTTTCTGGAGCAGTGGGTCAGTGGTCTGTGCTGCTCCTCTTGCACATTCAGCTGTGCCTTGGAATTTGTCTTGCAGTAGAATTGTCTTTGATTCTCCCATGACAGGTCTGGTGGGAATCTGGTGGCAAGTTAAATTGTCTGGGCCCTGAGGGTGTAGGGCCAAGTCACTGGAGGCCCAACTGAGGACTTGTTAACCTCTTAGCATTGCAGCACCTCGTGATTAACAAGATCAGCTAAGGTATGAGTGCGTGTGAGGTCCTTCTGGATCTCCCCTCCCTCTGCATGTGGGCAGGGGAGGGGTGGAGGAAGGGCTCCAGGGGCTCCAGGAGGAGTGGCAGCAGCTGAGGTGGGTCTTTACCGGGAAGCTGCTGGAGTCTGCACACCTGGCCCAGCGCACTCCCCCACGGCAAAATGGACACAGAGCTCTGTGAGTGTCTGGGAGAGCTGCTGCCGTTTGCTTGGTGAATTATTTAGAAGCGTTATTATTGCCTTGTTAAATCGTTCCTATGAACCTCCTACATGATGGAAGCTTCCTCACTGAGTCTCAATAACTCTGACTGCATAGGAGGAAGCCCTCAGGAAAGCAGACAAGCATTAATTACTGCCGTCGTCTCCCAGATATTGCACTTATAACTCATAAAGCTAATTGTCCTAGTGCCTGCAGATGCTCCAGAGCTGGGAGGCCAAGGTGCAGGTCCCAGTGGAAAGACTTGTGACCCCCCCCCCCCAGGAGCCTGTTCCCAGGGCTGTTGGCCCCGTCGCCCCTGTTGCCCCACACTCTCTCTCTGGCTCCAAGGAACTCGACGAGGCAGAGGGCCTGGGGTAGTCTGGGAAGTTGCTTTACAGCTTTGCGTGTGACTTCAGGGTTCGTGGTCCTGCAGAACAGCAGAGCCTTCTGACCCCAAGTGCTGGTGCCTACATCTCTCTGAAGCTCCTCTCTCCCTTGGTGAAAAGTTGGGAATGGGGTGTGTCAGAGGTGTGGGTTTCCTTCCTCAGACCCGAGCCCTCCTGTAGGTGATGAGGGCAGGGCAGCTGGATTCTAGCAAGTGGCCTCTTTAGGTCCTGGGAGGAGGAAAGCCATCCTTTCTTTCCTTGCCCTTGGTCACTCACACGCAGATTGGCCATCCCTTTTGGAACTCCACCATGCCTCTCTCCGCCAACTGGTTCTGATTTTTTCTGCTAGCCAAAAATGCTGGACAGGGCCGCAAGTGGGTAGACTTAAAACACCCTCCTCCCACACAGTCATCTCTGTCTCTGGTAATATACCCCTGCCACGTCTGCATATTTTAAATGGCCCCTTCTTCATTGCTATGCTGGGACAGTATGCTCTGTGAGATGAAGATACAGGCGTGCATTGTGGCTTAGTTTTCAGAAAGTCCCCTGGAAGCCATCTCTCCGGTCTCCAGGAGCACACAGACGAGACTACCTGGGATAGGAAGTGTCCCTGAGGCCAGGCTTTTCAGGAAGGGAGTTTTTTCCACCAGCAGCTACTAGTTGCCTCCCAGAGCTCTTGACCTTAACAAGTGGAAATTTCTACTTCCTCTATTTGCACCATGGACCCCCTTCTGCATCCCAAGATTCCCGGTGCAGCTGGTAGGAGTCAGTTCATCCTTTCCTTCCCCTGCAGTAGCCACGGAGCAGGATGCTGTGGGGTGGAGGGTTCCGCGTCACCTGCTTCACATGCACTCTCGGTGTCCTGCCGTAAGCTGGGCCCAGTTATTATACCCAAGGGTTTCAGGACCTGCTTTTAGCTGCCCTTGGGTTCTCAGGCCCCCGGCACTCACCCATCCTGCTCCTCCAAAGAAAGTAATGGGAGGGCTAGGGCTGGGCTCAGTGGTAGAGCACTTGCCTAGCCTGCGTGAGGCACTGGGTTTGATCCTCAGCACCACATATAATAAACAAATAAAATAAAGGCATTCTGCTCATTTACAATACAAAAAAAAAATTTTTTTAAGTTCTTAAAAAAAAAAAAAAACAGGAAAAATAAAAAAGAAAGGAAGGAATGGGAGGTTCGGAGCCTGAGCTCTTGCACAGGCAACCCCGCCCCAGGCTGGGAGCACCTTGGGCTCTTTCTGCAGGGCCATGCAGCTCTGATGGGAACAGAGTCAGGACTGGCCTTTTGTTCCTTCCTCAGCCATGGAGCCCAGAAGCCAGGGACCCCTGGTATGGTGGTAGGAGTGTGTGCAGGGTCCTCCCAGAACTCAGGCCTGAAGTGTTGCTGTCCCCTGGGGTCAGGGCGCTGCCAGCACTCCTGTTATGCTGCCTTGTTCCCGCAGACCTCCCAGCCGGCCGTTCCACCCCTAGCCCAGATTCCCTCCCTCCTCCTCGAGTGTCAGAGGAAGCACACAGGGGTCCTAGGGGCTCCCTGTGTGCTGTCAGCTTCTCACCTTTGGAGAAAGCTGGTGGCATCCACCACTTACAGGTGGGCAGGGCTGCTGGTCACAGGCAGCGCAGCCGGCTCTAGCCCAGCAGAGCTGCGAGCGCAGATGGCAGAGCAGAGCTTATCCTGGCTGGAGACCCGGCCACAAACTGGCCGTATTGAGCAGGAGGTCCCTCGTGGGCCGCCTTGGGACAGGACAAGGTCATCCTGGTTTGCTCTCCTGCCTTGAACTCAGGAACAGTGAGGTCCACCTCTGGACATAGGTGACTTAGAAGGGGATGCAGCCTGTAAGTGCCTAGCAGGTGCCCTGCCACCTCTGCAGATGGAGGCCATCTTTCCCAGGCTCCCTCTGGCAGCCCCTTAGAGAAGAGGGGTAGGGTGTGGGAGAGTCCTGCCCACCAGCTTCTTCCTATAGGTGTAGGCCACCCTGAGGTTCAGGCACAGGCCAGCATGGAAGATGGCCCTTGGTGAAGGGCCCAGAGACCATGTTTTCTGCTTCCCCTTGGCTCTGACTCAAGCTGCACTACTGGCCTTTGGCTACAAAATTCCAAACAGCATGCAGCCCCCCTTGTGAACTGCATGGTTTCTTCCTAAAATAGTACTACTCAAGAAAATATCCTCTTCCTAAAGGGGTGGAGACGGGAGGAGCCCCCCCATGGTGACTAGTCCTCCTACCTGAGCTCGTGGTTACCACCAGTGATGTGGCATTTCTGATTCAGGCTTCCCAGCCACCCAGGGTGTGGCATCATTTCCTTGCACAGTGGGGAACACTGAGGCTCGGGAGACAGTGGCTTCCTCTGGATCCCAGAGCTGAAGCCCTCAGCCAGGCCCTTGGGCCTCTTGCGGGGTCCTCTTGCCCTGTAAAGCAGTCTTGGTGCCCGCGGCACATGCAGGTTCGTGCTATCTGCACACAGAGGTTGGGGGTGGCAGCATCTATGTGCCAGCCTCAGAGCCCGACATATGCCAGGGGTTGGGGCGCTGCTGCCTGATGTGGCCTCTGCTGAGTGCTCTGCGTCTGTGCGCCCACCTGTGATTGTGCTGCGCCCTCTCCTTGATGCCCTTGCTCCCAGACGGAGAAGTGGACTTCGCTGGTTATTCACGTAGGATTGAATGTAAGCACCTCTTCCCAAGGACATTCCCTCCCCTGCCATGGTCTCTGTACTTTCAACATCAGCCACTGTGCCCCAGGGCTGTGGCATCTGCTAATAAGTGGGTCACCGCTGCCATCCCTTGAATATTTATTCTCACCAGTTCTGGGGCAGGAGGTGGCCTGGAGGACCAGTGAGGAGGGAATCAATATGAACCCACACGTCTTAGGAGCAGTGTGATGGCACAGGACATGGGCACTCCGGGTCACAGTGTTGCCCATCATGGTGTGGTACACTCGACCCGTTTTCAGTGGCCTGCTGCCCCCAGAGCAAACAGGTGAACACCACCCCAGATCTGTGCATGAGAACCTGGATGGAAACGGGGCCTGGTGAGGCTGGAGTGAGGGCCCTCCCGAGGGCGTCTGACTCCGTCAGTGGAGCTGAATCCAAGCGTGGGTCTGGGGCCCTTGCCTGGAGCAGGCACTTCCCTCCCCTGTGCGGTGCCCACCCTCCTGCCTGCCTCCCATGGGTTAGGACTCAGTCTGGTGCTAAACCAGAGCAAGTCAGGA